GGGCACTGTTGGGTTAGACGAATGCTTCAAGGCCTTCCTTACACTGCTCAAATTCTAAACAACCTGCTTCCATTGCCGAGATACAGGGCGCTCATAAGGTAAGGTTATAAAAACCATCTTTTAAGATCATTTTAGTCAAAGTTTCATCCTTCAAGGCGTACCATTCACTGCTCAAATACTAAACAACCTGCTTCCATTGCCGAGATACAGGGCGCTCATATTATAAGGTAAGGTTATAAAACCACCTTTTAAGATCATTTTAGTGAAAGTTTCATGTTCCTATCTCATATAATTTAAGAACAATGATGAATAAATCATTTTCGAGCAAAATTTAAATGGACGGCTAATATATTACCGCTGGAGAGACGGCCGCGGAATTTAAATGACCGCACGAAAGGGTTAATGATGAATATGAGGGACAGACAATGGTCCCTTTCATTTTTTTTTTTTTTCATCAGGCCTCTTGTTCCTGCCATGGGATGTAGCTGGCTCTCAAGATTAATAATTATGCGTTCTGTAATACTTTGTCACATTCTCTTACAATTCTTATTGTATCATCTCTGCATGTTTTTCAGAATTTTTCTGAGGAGCAAATGACAACTCACAGTGCACAGCACATGCTTACAATAGCAAATCAGAGCTGACAGTACCACACCGTAAGCACAGAATCGGGATGTAAATAGGTTTCACTTTTAGTATGACCATGATTGACACTTCATCATCTGCATAAGTTATAAAGTATAGGACACTAAGATGACAGGGGAAGGACATGATGGATGAAGTAATGGCAAATTTCAAGGTACTGTCCTGACATTTATGAAGGGCAGCTGAGGAAAACCATGAAAACCTCAGATTTGCTAATCTATACATAAATACTTGAGCCTGAGGCATGAAATTAAGTAAGTAATCTAGCCACTTTAACCATAATGTTCAGAAATTGTAGTGCTTTTGTTTAATTTCCATGCATTTACAATATTTGGTTTGTGATTAATTTAAAAATGACCACAACAAAATATCTATTGCATTTTCAGAGAATTTATTCTCCTCCTCCTCTTCCCATCCCAATGCAGATGACCATAGAAACGTTAATATTGTGGTAATAAAAAACAGAGGAATAACATTTGTTTAAATTTGTGATGTCTCACTTTTTTTATTTTACAGGCTGGCTTACGTCCTGTCTGTGAATTTATGACTTTCAACTTCTCAATGCAAGCGATCGATCAAGTTATAAACTCTGCAGCCAAGACGTTTTATATGTCAGCAGGCAAAGTAAGTTGCAATTGGATCTTAGAACATAATATTTCATCTCCTGCTTGAATAAGTTCTGCCAGAATTTGATCATTACCTGTTGATTTATACCATTTCAGTTTTGCAATAGCAATTTTAAACTCTGAAGGGCTAGGATCAGGTACTAACTTCTCAGCTGTATGTATTTATATCTGCCAAACATCACTGACCCTATGTACGAGTACGTACTTTCAATAACTGAGAGTAGCAGTTCTTCCACTTCTTCAAAATATTGTGGGAATCTGCAAGCAGATCACCATTCTCATCCTTCACTAAGTTCTAGTAGGCCAGAAGTGGCTGCAGTACAAGGTACTTAGTCCCACCCCACTAGCAATAAAAAAAAAGTTACTTCTAGGTTGGTAACCCCTCTTAAAGTTATTATTCCTCTATACAGGTCTCCAGTGTTCTAGTTTGTACTGTTCATTGCAAGCTCATCAATTTTGTCTTTCAGATATTCCCTCTTTTTTTTTTTCCTGAAATGCCTGCTGGTTTCCCTCCTTTTTTTTTTCAATTTTTCCCCTTTTACTCGCC